TTGTCTCACGAGCATTTAGTTGATGAGCACAAGACATTATCATACTGATGAGCATAAATAGTGAACGGGTATCTGCCAGCACACTTTTGTCGTGAGCACTAAGCGAGCCACTCTAGCGGAATTCGTGAGCAGTCAGCATGAGGAGCTGAAAAATTCCTACTTGAGTCGTGAGCAGTGAGTGAGCGGCGCTACTTTTCCTAAACACTCATTACCGATTGCCATACTTTTTTTTGAACGGAATCATGGTAGTTCTTGACTCGTTATCAGTAGCGAGCAATTTCTTGCGATGTTAAGACTCGTTTCATTATCAGAAACGAGCACAAATGAATTGAATATTGACGGTTTCTAACAGGCTTCAACAAGTAATCAGTGATAAACTTTTATGTGATAACGCAGGCAAGTTGATACTAATGAATGCTTGGCAGAGCGATTGATAAGAGCGATAATTATCCGTGATAAACAACTTGGAAAAGAGAAACACTGAGAAGTGCGTGATAAGCATAGTGCATCCATTGATTTCGATGGGAATAAATACGAGTCAGTCTTTATCGGTGCTCTTATCTCGGCATCGTGTTCTCCTCGTATTTTAACCCACCGACGTACTTTTCGTGATTTTACGAAAATTTTCTTCACCAAAATCCTTTCTGTAAGCAGTTATCGTGAGGCAGTTTCTCTTCTTCCATCAATGAGAATTGTTCAGTCTTAGATAATGTGTGCGTTTTCTAGCCTTTTGTATCTTTGTTTTGCATTGGAAACGCCCTTCTTGTTTTTATCAAATGTACATTAAGCGCCGTCTGATTTTTATCAAACGTAATGTGTTTTTGAAATCGAATCGTTTATCGTCAAAAAGAGTCTATTGAGGTACTGACTGTATCTTTCGATTGAGGAATATATGTAGGTGTTCGCGTCGATTTCACCCACTCCGGTAGTTAGCTCACATTATGGAAACAGTGGAATAACAATAACAGTATTATAGGATCTTACAACCGAAGTGAACAATAATAAACCGATCAAAAACAATAACCAAAATAACAATAACATCGCAAGCAACGATACCAGTGGCAGTAACACTAACCAACCAATAGACCCACCACACGCAGAGCCGACCAAAACACCAAATAACTCTTCCACCACGAAGCGCTCTAATCGGTAGGTTTCATGATTTTCTATAGCTTTCAGAAGCTTTTTATTATGACTGCTGATTGTGTCACAGCGTTGAATTGCCTTGAGATTCTGGGTGAATTGCTTCGAGTTTCGCGCAATTACTCGATGCGAAAGATTTTGCTCTTGAGATTCAACAGTGCATATCCATTGATTCAGACCATCAGAGCAGAAAAAAATTCGACTCAAAAAAAATCCTACTCATACTCCACTTTCAACTGCACAATCGATTGATGATATTCATATTCAATCTTACTACTAGTGAAGTGTTGCTTCCACTACGCCTTAGTTTGGTAAAAATCCATCGCCAGAATATAGCGGAAAATTGAGCAGTCAGTTATCAGCTGAATTGTAATTGCAGCTATTCAGTAAATGAAGATTGTTTATTGAATCGGATGTTTTAATCAATCGCATACAATTTTCAGAACTCTCAGAATGAGAACTTTCAGAAATTGTATGGCTTGCCGACCGACGGAAATCCGATTGCCTTGTATTCGTACGCTACGAGACGAATACAACAACATCGGAAAAACGTAAGTTTTAGCCAAAGTTTGCATAAGTTTCATGCTGCATTTCTTCAGATAATAATGATTAGTTCTATCCTACAATTTGCAACTGTATTTCTTTTCGGAATCTTTAGAGCTCTTACAGTTAGATTCCTAATGATCACATGTGTATTTACATATAAGTACACGTGAATTGTTGTCAAGTGCTCAGGTCGGTGAGCTGCAGATTAGCTTTTTGGTCTGCTACCACTCGATGTCAACCATATTTGTTGCTTCCATAAAACAACAGCAACTTTTCAGAGAGATCCAGAAGAGTGAGGTTTTGGAACGGGTCAAACAAATACGAAATGACGACTTTGATTGGATCGATCGAGAATTTGAGGTGAACACATTTCCGACATCTTTCTGAATCATTTTCTCATTTTGTTGAAATTTTCAAATACAAGCGATTATTCACAGGATGCATAATATATAAAATTGTAGTTGAGGGAAACGTGATGAATGCGCTTAGCGAATTGATAGTTATTTCAACACCCGTCCAACAAAATGTTCAGTTGCATCTGTTGATGATGCGTGAACAATTTCCGTTTTCAACAAAACAATTTTTTGCGGCAAAAAATTTTTTCGATTAAACGAGCGAATACGAAAACGAGCAGAGAAAGAGAACAAAATTAGAGCCTAAGTGCGCTATTTGCATGCTATGTAACAGCTGTTTTTTGTTTGACGGTCGGTTCGTTCGGTTGTTTGCGCAATCATTTCACACTTGCCCTTGGAGTTTAACTGACTGAGTGGGTGAATGAACAAAACGAGTTGGGGAACTGATAGCCTCCATTGTATAATAGTTGGTGGAGTGAAATCTTTCATTGAGCAAAATGAATAAACTCATCTTGAGATCAGTAGAATAGAATAATGCATATTATTGCATTTGTCCGGAAATGAACGAATGAAAAATGAAAGAAATAAGAGATGATTCATTGCCTAAAGCACAAAGAGCCATTTTAAAGCGAACGTTAGCCTTCATCTCAATCATCGTGATTATCGTTCGCAAGCATCAGAGTCGTTAACGTCAACATAATATTAACGTAACGATCGTGCATATTTGTGATCACCACATTCGATTTTGCACAGAAATGACTGATTGAAAATACTCTCAAAGGCATTATATGATGTGGCTCAAGAAATTAATTCGTTTCATCCAAATGGCATTTAGCATTCCAACGCTCTTTCTTTGTGAATATCTTCTGATTCGTTTGCTCGTTGTCCTTCTTGTTCCATTCATCGTTAATCCTCGTCTTATGTGGCGATGATGAATAACGATTGCCGAAGAATGTGCGTACACACACGCATTCTATGCCATGAATTTTATCGATGCTGATTGAACAAACCCATATCAGATTTACCAATGAGAAGGGGATGGGGGACGGTTTTCGTTAGATTGTGAATTTTGAGTTTGTTTTTGTGGTGATGAAATGAATGGGACGATATGATTGTACTGAACATTCGGAATGATTAGCGGGTGAAGGGGGGGGGGGTTAATACGAAATAATTTATCAATACGAAAAGTTCTCAGAGTTTCAGTCCTCGAGTAATAGGAAGAGAATATGAAAAATGGTTGCGTCATCGTCTTGCCTTAGTCTCACTGAAACTGTTCTCCTCCTTTGTTCATTTCATTCGTTTTTTGTTCATTTCATTCGTTCAAACGGCTTTCGTCATCATCATTTTCAGTTAATTTGAGAGGAGGCATGTTAGCATTAATTAAAAGCAACTCGCTATCAGCCCACGTTGAACACGAACAGAATACAATTTTTAATTTGTGGTGGGAGGCGTTTTGAAATGAGTTTGATTTGAAGTCACATATCCGAACACTAATTTAAATTGATTCTTCATAGAATTCATTCGAAATGACATTATGTCAATTCAACGTAATTTGAGATAATCATAATCATTCAAGCGTTTCTAGTAATAAGCAATCTCGATCACCCAACCACAATTTGTTGTCATTATCCAGTCATTTTTTATTGAGACGTGCAAAGTACACTGAAATCTGCTGATCCATAACGGAAATTCAAATGACTAGAGCAGTTTAGCTGACCACGCATAATATGTGATTATGAATGAGATATAGCATCGTGGGATTTGAAGAACTCAACGCTCAAATATCGTGTGCAGAGCGTAGGCGATCGTAGACTTTGTCAACATTATATGATGAGGGATAGTGGTTTGGGGGATAATTCTGTCAGTATAATAGCTGAGTGAGCGATAATATTCACTTTCGCGCAAAGATTTATGCAGTGAGCGGATACAATTAGTTAGTCAACGCATTTTGCTTTTACTAATAGTCTCAGGAGACTTCAAAGTAAGGCTGTCCTGAAAGTTGTGTGGGAGCAGATTCTTAGGATGTAGTGATTGACGAGGGAAGGGATTGGAGAAGTTTTCCTACAGTGGCACCTAAATATGAGTTCATCGAACATTGAAAAGATGACGTTTCAGGTGCTGAATCGAGGGTTTCCCACCGAACGAAAATCCGTCATTCAGAGTGTGGACAACATGAAAAAGAATCGCTTCATGGACGTTCTTCCTTGTGAGTTTGATAAATTTGTAACTGTTAAATGTATGAGTGATTATCAAGATTTTACTTACAATAACATCAACGAGGAGTAGAGCTTTATTGTCACTATTAGTTCTCGTGTTTGGCTTAGAACTGAGCACTTTATAAGATAAAAAGTGGCGTTTTTCCAGTCTCTTTCCAATTAGTTTCATTACTTGATACTTGAGGCTCTAATCTATCGGACGCTCTGGATTATGCTTGAGAAAGGGCGTTTTCATGTGAAAAATTAGTTGGAACTGAAAACTGATGCGATTGGTCGCTGCTTCGTAAAGTGATGTTTATGCTTTTTGCTTGAGCAGATATGATATGATGTCTGATGAACTAATGTTGTTGATGTTTTACAGACGATGACAATCGAGTAAAGATTGAGAATCATCACAGTGATTATATTAATGCAAGCTTTATTGATGTGAGTTTGAGTCGCCATTAGATTCCACTTTGAACCAATAACAACTCATTTTTGCATTCACTTTTTAACCGATCGAATGCATCGAAACGCAAACCAGCGCAAACATAATAACCACATTATCGCGATTGATTCAATAAGGCAGCATTATTGTACGCTCTCGTGATAAGCTGATTAGGTTGTTTTCATTGGAAGTGCAATCTCAACTAGATAAAAGGATGACTAATACATGAAAATATGTAACTTTTCTTCACCATTCAAATAGAGCCAGTGAAACGAAAAAAAGTTGATTTGATTTATAAGCCAAAAAAACCACACCAGACTTGTAAATTGTAGGGTTACGACGTGAAACGAAATTTCATCGCGACTCAAGGCCCCATTGGACACAACGAAACAAATCAAGGAAAACGTGAAAGTACACTAGAAGACTTCTGGATGATGTTATGGGAACAGAGTGTGCAATGTGTTGTCATGCTTACAGAATGCGTTGAAAACCTAAGGGTTCGTCTGTGTTCTTCTCATGCATTAACCTTTGAATATTTTATATCCCATGAAACTTCATCAGTGTACTATTGGAGCAGTGAAGTAATATTCTGAAATCGCATCTGAATTTCATAAACTTTTCGGTTTTCCTAAGCAGTTTCGGCGAAAATTCTGGTTCCAAGACAGGCAAAATCGGATTGTCTAGCAGAACTCAATGATGATTTTTGGATTTTAGCTGAAGTGTGCACAGTACTGGCCTGATGAGGTGGGTGCAGAATGTCATTATGGGAAGGTGAGCGTGAGGTTGGCCAGATCGTATTGCTGTGATGATATTTGCACGTTGCGTGAAATGCGTGTCAGTTATGAGGGCAATACGCGGATGGTCACACAGTGGCACTATAAAGAGTGGCAAGATTGCAAAGGACCTCAGGATGCGAGACATTTGATCAAATTCATAAGACGAGTCCGACAGTCCGAACCGCAAGCACCAATACTCGTCCACTGCAGGTGACTGAATCAGTTCGCAAAATATTACCTGGATTGACCAGGCTATCAAACGTTTATAACATTGCTGGCCACAATGCTCGTGTTTCCGTTCGCACTGTTTTAGCCTTGACTGACGCCATATCCCGCTGGCTAGGTGAGCAGGCCAAGTGAATGCAACTGAATATTAAATTAGTTGCCGTGAATACTTTGCATAATTAAACGTAGCCAAATATCATCAATCCAATAAATAATCATAACTCTAGAAAATAAATGTGCCACCGATCGCTCACTGCGATCAACAAAACAAACGCTCGATGTCCAAGTAAGAAGTAAACGATATGTAGCAAAATATGGTGATCGTAAATTTATGACTTGAAAAATAATCATTTGATCATTGCAAAACTCATTTCCAAGTGCATAACTGTCGTAACTCCAGCTTACTCT